CGTACTTTGTATATAAACAGAGATATGAAAAATTGTGATATATATGTGTATTAAGAATTGTAATGCAAAAAACACAAAGTACATGTATAAAGGCGTAAATTGGCCTTTGAACATACTTTATATACATACTTTGAACATACTTTATATACAGAGATATGAAAAATTGTGCCCTATATGTGTAATAAGAATTGTAATGCATTCCACCGCTGTCATGTATTAAAAAAAATAAAATCAATAAAAAATTAAAAAAAAACATTCATGCAATGCTCATGGGCTCTGGAGCTGGGTTGGCTGAGTTAGAAGCTGCTTCCTAGTTGTGAACCTTGGGCGGGAGTTCTAATCTCACTGCATCTCTGTTTCATCATCTGTAAAATGGGCATAATGAGAAGACACGCTGCATAGGGTTGTTATGGGGATTGATTGAGAGCACGAAGTCATCTCCGCCTCACGCCTTTCCCTCTTCAATTCACCCTCCACTCTGCTCACAGAATGACCTTTCCACAATGTGAATTTGATCACCTTCTTTTCCTTGTAAAACCCTTCAAGGATCCTTGTTGCCCTTGGGTACAGCTCTGAGCTGGGCACACTGTGTCCCTGCAGCTGATCCTTATTACTTCTGCAGCCCCATTACCTCAGAACGTGCCCCAGAACCCTTAATGCTAGTCACTGGGAGTCGCTTGCTGTCAGTTCCCCGGGGGCTGTTCTCTTTCTCTTGGGATCTTGGCCTGCTTTCCCTGTCCTTGGGGTGCTCTTCCTCAGCCATTTCGTCTGGCTGACTAACTCTCCATTTTCTTTCTGCTTTCAACCAGGAGTTTTTTTGTCCCCCCATCCCACCCTGGCACTGGGGATTGAACCCAGGGCCTTGGCCATGCTAGGCAAACACTCTCTCTACCACTGAGCTACATTTCCAGCCCTATTTTTTTTTTTTTTAATTTTGAGACAGGGTCTTGTTAAGTTGCCCAGGCTGGCTTCAAACTTGCGATCCTCCTGTCTCAGGCTCCTGAGTCACTGGGATTATAGGCAC